GAGAGAGATCTGTTTACAAAGAGGGTAAATTAGGAATTACGAATAAAATAGTGTGGCATTTTTGTAAAACTTTTAAAAATGTGGCATTTTTGTAAAGTGGCATGAAGTATGTGGCATTTTTTAAAATTTTTCTATTTTTTGTTGTTTTGGTCAACAATTTAAATTTTATTATTAAAGCTCGCGAGCAGAGGTAAGGCCTCTGAGAGCGTTTTTGGCTAGAAGATCAGCCGTTACATTTTTCGATCGTGGAATATATCCTATAGCAAAGGAATTGAACAATGTGATAAGTTCTCTAATGTCACATAAGAGAAAATGAATCTCCTTGTGATCACCATGAGCTTGTAGTAGTTGGACTAACGTAGCGTTGTCAGAGAAGATTTGAATTTCTTCACAGCATGTCAGGCTCGCTGCTCTCAAAGCTGCTCGAAGTGCAAGAGCTTCCGCGTGAAGGGGCAGAAGCAACTGATGCGTTTGTGGCCGAACCTTGAAAAGTAATCAAGGGGTTTGTGATCGAAGAGATGCTCCAGCCCATGCCACAATCCAAAGAGGTAGAGTTCCAAGCCGCATCGATATAACAAGCAAAACTGTGATTGCTTTTAGCCAGCGCCAATGGCGAACTTGTTGGTGAAGGTGGTTTTTCTTTATGGTCTTGAGCTTCCTGACAAATCTTTGTTTCCATGATAGCTTTACCTATGACTTTTGAAGCCGTAAAGGCCCGGCCAGAGAAGAGTAACTCATTTCTTATTTTCCAAAGCCACCAAAGAATCCAAGCACAAAGATGGCCTTCCGATATTCCGACAGGGGTAGCACCAAAAGCTCTCTGGATTCCGAGAAAAAGTGGGAAAAAGGTCCTTGGAGCAAGCTTATGTTCTCAGCAAAAGGAGCTAAGGTCCAGACATCTTTAGCAAAAATACAGTCTCTAAAGACATGTGTGACTGTTTCCAATGGTGAAATTGCATATATGTAGTCAAATTTTTGTTTTAGATTTAAATTATAAAACTTATAGACATATTTGTTCTTAATTGTTATGAATGTTTTGAAAATATTATATAAATATCTAGAACGGAAAGCATTTTTATGTGGTTGGAAAAAATTAAAAATTGTTGAGAATATGACATTGTGTATGATATTTATGTGAGTTCTATTTAAGAATTAAAGTGAAATAAAAATACGAAAACAAACAAGATGTATTAAGTTAAAAAATAGGAAGGAAACTAAAAGAGTAGAAAAATTATAGAGAGTGGGGGAAATAGTTGATGTGTATGTGTGGATTTTGGAGATGATGATATTTTTGATGTAATTAGTTGATGTGTATGTGTGGATTTTGGAGATGATGATATTTTTGATGTAATTTCACTGTCATACAATAAAGATAACTTTTTTTAGAATAATACATGTCCAAAAGAAAAAAATCAAGACATACTCTTAGACGTGAAAAAATGTGTTGACTTTAATAAATATGATAATGTAGTAAAAGATTATCGTTAATGATTTGAAAATAAGTATGGGGATGGTTGTCCTTAAGAGGTAACTAAAGATTTTTGGGAGAGTTAATAAAACCCTAACTCGAATGAAAAAAAAGAGGAGTTTAATGTCCTATAGACAAATATTGCGTGACACTTTATGCCAACCAAAAAAAATATCGTAGAAAATATTATTTGTAAGTAACCAGATCATAAAATTTTGTTTTGTACATTTTTTTTGAAACAATATAAAAAACATAGATACACTATAGAAAAATAGGTTTTAGAGACGCGGTAGCGAGAATTCATTATATATATATATTTTTGGTAAAATTATATGCGATCAAAAATATATATGTTTAATTAAGATTTTCACTTTTATCATTTGTTGTATAATAGTTTAATCAATTTATTTTCCTATAAAAAATTCAATAAAATAATATTTAATAAAAACTTATCAATGTCAGTCTTACTTAATCTTCTTATGGTAATAATACTAATCAATTACCTTGCCATTTTGTTTTTTTAATTCATATATGTCAACGTTTATCTAATTAAAAAAATTACGAAGCCTTAAAATATATTAAACCAATCGATAAAAAAAAATCATTAGAAACCTAGTTCTTATTACAAAAAGTTGATCACTAAATAAACCTAAATTACGTGTTAATATCAACAAACATGGATTAGTTCAAATAAAAAACTAGTAATAATACCAATCATATCCGAATGTGGGGTTTAAGACAGCTTGCTTTCTCATTTTTGGTCAAGTTTTAGCCCACTTTTTTGTCACCGGCATATACAAAATAATCCATTTTCTCTAAATGTCCTTTTAGAAGCCGACTTGACTTAAGTTCTTCTCCTCTTCTCTCATTAAACAATAAAGTTGCTATCTTTTTCCCTCGATTCTTGCTTGTTACCTACCTATAATTTTGGGTATTACTTTCTTAATCAGATTTCCTTATAAAGTTTCTCTCTTTCCTTTGTGGGTTTTGGATTATTGGGTCAAGTTTACAGTTCATTTCTAGTCACCATCACGCGTTCCTCCGTTTCAAGCTTCCTTCTTCCTTCTCTTTGCCTTAATCAGATCTGCACTTTTTCTTAGCGGAGACAGACATTCTCTGGTTTTGATTAGACAACATCGAAGTCCTAAGTTAGTTTTTTTTGCTTACTACCCATTTCTCGTTGAGTAAAACAAAAGCTACTTCCTTTCACCATATGATTCAGATTTGCTCTTCCTCTTGCAGGTAAAGTTTGAAGCTTGAAGGAAAATTGCGATTGCTTTGGTGTTTCTTAGCTACAAAGTTCATGACTTCAGAGCTTTAGAGATTTTTTTAAGGATTTGAGACCAGGAAGGGTCTTTGTTGTAATGGCGTCTAGAGAAGGAAAGAGGCGTAATCATCATCATAATCATGAGAATCTTGTGCCTCTTGCTGCTTTGATAAGCAGAGAGACGAAAGCTGCGAAGATGGAGAAACCAATTGTGAGATACGGACAAGCTGCTCAATCTAGGAAAGGAGAAGATTATTTCTTGATCAAGACAGATAGTCTTCGAGTTCCTTCTAATTTATCAACTGCTATTTCTGTCTTTGCGGTAACCAGAAGCTCAATCTGTAACCTTTTGATACATAATCTCTGAATCTTGTCTCTTGAATTTGAGTCTCAGGACAATTAATATGCGTTATTAAGTCTTGGGGTCCATAAGTGAACCTTGATCCTCACTAGCTAGATGATTTGTGTGGGACAAATGCTATTGATGCATCTACCT